CTGTGTGTGATCTGTGTGAGGTGTAGCTGTGCAGGGTGTGAGGTGTGCGGGGTGTGAGGTGTACTGTGTGTGATCGGTGCGGGATGTAGCTGTGTGAGGTGTAGCTGTGCGTGGTGTGAGGTGTACTGTGTGTGATCTGTGTGGGGTGCGGGATGTAGCTGTGTGGGGAGGTGTACGGTGTGTGACCCGCGCTGGGGACTCGGTTGCCGTGGCGCCGCAGGCCCTGCAGCCAGTGGCTCAGGGCGCTGCGGCCCCTTTAAGAGCCGGAGCCAGGCGGGCAGGCCAGGCCCGGCTGTGAGCGGGGGAGCCGGCACAAAGTTTTCCCCTCACGGCTTCGGGAGCAGCGGCCCGGGCGGGCGGCACCGAGCGCGGGGGGAGCCAGGGCCCGGGAGAACCGGTGGCCGCAACTAGGAGCCGCGCGGAGCCGTCCCGGCATGAGGAAGAGCCGCGGCCGCTGCCGCTCCGAGCTCGGCCCAGGCTGCCCTTGAGAGCCAAGCGGGCGCCCCGCCGCAGCCGCTTCCCCTGCCCCTTCGGAGAGAGCCGCCTGGCAGGGCCCTTCCCAGCCCCCGGGGAGAGACTCCGCGCCTGGGCCCGGGGCCCGTTAGCTCCTGGGGCCTCCCTGACTCCCTCCCCCCGGTGCGAGTGGTGCCCTTGTCCTGAGCGCCCCACTGAAGGCCGGGGGTGGGGTTAGTGGCCCTCTCCTAGCCCTGCCCCCCCCCCCCCCCCCCCGAGCCTGGGACAGGCACCTGCTCCTGACAGCAAGACTCAGCCGCCCCTGCCCGCGCCCAGGGGGCTGGGTTTGGCTGGAGGTTTGTTGTGACTTCCTGCCCCACGGTTTCAGGGAAGCAGCTCCCACCTCTTGCTCCTCTGCTCCTAGGCCTGCTCTTTGTCACCCTTGTTTTAATGACTGGTTGGGGTGACTGGCTGAGATGAAAGTGACTGTTTCTTTTGGGAAGACGGGGATTGTGGTTCCCTGTAAGGATGGGCGGCTCCGTGTCAGAGACTTAACCCAGCAGGCTCTTCAGAGATACCTCAAAACCAAAGAAAAGGTAAGACAAAAACACACCACATTACCACATCCACTTCACACCAAGATCACTTAAGAACACTGCACCCTTATACCAGACAGTCTGCGTATAGAGGAGACTGTATGTACCTGCAATATATATATATATTTTATTAGTTAGTCCAAGTATATGGTGGATTTTTTTTTAAAGGTGTGCATTTTGCAGTTGGTGACTTTATAGTAGAAATAGTAGATGGATATGAGTGGGATGCTGAATCTGCAGGTTCAGAATGAGATGCAGCAGAGACACTGAAGAACAGAACTACTCAGTTTTGAAACAGAAGTTGGGTTTCAGTAGTTACTGTAATAAATAAGGACTAGAAGTCAGAGCTTGGTGGACTAGTGTTGTGAACAACACTGCCAAATAGTTGCGTGAACAGTTGATAATAGACAAGCTAAAAATGTGTTCCATTAGTCTAAATGTGTAAAGTTTCTTGTATTTTAGATTGTATGTTGTGCCACAGATGCTGTGCCACAAAGATAACTTATTTATCTACAATAAAGTCTACGTAGTATGGTAGGACTTCGGCTCAGACCTTATGATCCCAGGGATACTGCATGAATAGAGGTGCCACTCTTCAGATGAATGTTGATCAAGGCTTCTTTTACCTGGGTCTGGTTGAGATTAAAAATAGTAGGACTGGCCAGTGAATAACTTCAGTATGGTACTGATCAATAGTTTCTGTTCAAAGACCTGATTTTGCAAACACTTGTTCAGATGAATAGTTTGTGACTTCATTGAGACTGCTCCCATGAGTAAGGGCTTGCAGGATTGGGTCTTCAGAGAGTGAGGGAGATGTGAGTGCAAAAGGGCAATCAGAAACCCATGAGACTTGATTACTTCTCTGTTGCTGACTCATTCTGTGACTTCGGGCAAATCACCTGACTTCTCTGCCTTTCTTTTTCTCATGTGTAAAACTGGGATTATAATATTTACCATCCCTTCATAAGAGTGTTTTGAATATTAATATATGAAAACTTCTACTGAAGTGCTAAATTTATTATTGTACAAATCTGTATTAACTGTGGTAGTTACAGTGACTTCCATGTTTGCCTACACAAGCACCTGTAGTTCTTTGGCTATCATTGGCTATCTTTGGCATATTATACAGTATCTCACATAGGGAGATACTGTATAAAACAGGACTACCGTATTTCTTTTCTATCCATACTGGTACACCATGTATATATAGATAATCACTACTGTGTACTGAATCAGCTGAGGATTAAATATTGTCATAATAGTGTTATGGAAATTAGCAAATATTATTTAGGCTTTGGGCCATCAGGATGGCTCAAACTGTCCAAATATGCATGAACTTTGTATTAATGCTGAGGATTTATAAGAAGCAAAAGGACTTTTGGCCTAGGTAAACTTCTTTTAAAAAAAATATTGAATTCAGCTCTCTTCTTATGGTGGTGAAGTTTTGGACTCAAGTGCTGAGCCATCTGAACAACTAATGAGGAAAGTTTCAAGGTGACCTGAAAAATTTGGCTTGTGCTCTCTCTGCGGTGTGTGAAGAAGGACCAAAAGAAACAAGCAGGAAAAAAACGTATTCTAGACCTGCAGATCCTGCCTAGTCTAGAATTCTTTCTATGGTGGCTGGAGAATTAATGAAATTATTAACAAGTGTCCAGAATGAAGGCTGAACAATTGAGAGTGGATTTTTTTTTTTTTAGACAGACTGTCAAACTTTTTTTGTTTGTTTTTGTTAATACCCACCTAGTTAATCAAGTGAGACAAGGTGGATGAGGGGATATCTTTTATTGGACCAACTTCTGTTGGTGAGAGAGACAAGCTTTTGAGCTTACACAGAACTCTGTATCTTGCTAGTATCCTGGGACCAACTTGGTTATAACAACAGTATATATAGTTTAAATAATGTTTCAAGAAAAAGGATTTTTTTTGTTAAAGATTCAACACCTCTGCCCCCTTAAGTTAAGGTGTGAGAACTGACCCTATATACCTCTGAAACATCCAGTAGGTTCTTCAGCCAATCTTGGGGGAAACCAGATGTTGCATTCTTGGTATTTCTAAGATAAAACGAAGCAAAATCCATTCTCACATTTCTCATCCCTTCTCAAACTTTTCAGGCTCTCTTTATACATCATAAGGAAACCAAAAAAGTTTATTTTAAAACTCTGGTCAGCTTTAATGTTGGTAATTTGAAACTACAGTAAATGCACATAATAGGAAAAATCAAAAGAAAACAACATAAGAGGCTCAAACAGTACTGAGCAGATTTGGATTTAAATCTCTAATTCAGTGGCTGAGATTTTGGTGTGTGCCTTTTCTAGTTCACCGTGAGTTGCACAGTTAAATTTCTATGCACTTTGAATAGCTGGTTTCTGGCAAATCTTATTGGCTGTCTTAGACCTTAATGCAAAATATTAGGTAACTTCAGTTTATTTAGCTAAGTATCATTGGAGGTTGTACTATTAGAAGAATTCCAAAGAATTATTACTGTTGTATTTTGGGTTGTTTAATTATACACTATATAGAATTCACTAACCATTCTAGTGGGCCTGTGATGATTTGTTGTTGTTGTTGTTGTTGTTCATTGTCTAACATGGATGGATTAGGCCTGTTATCACTTTGTTCCCAATTTTAAAAATATAATTAATACACTTACAGATGTTAATATTAGTAAAAACTGAATACAGACTTGGGACCCTGTAGCACTAGTCACTACCTGAAATCTGCTGTAAAGTATGGGCATATAATACGTATGAATTTCTAATAGGCTTGTTGTTAAAGACATTTACTGACTTAAGTTTAAAAAATATGTATTTAGAATGTCTGGATCACTTTATTTGGACTGAAGTTAGAGTACAGAATAATAGTGATAACACTCTAAAACTGTTTCTCATATGATTATTGGAGTGTAAATAACTTAAAATGTATCAGGTTGGAAAATTGGGATAAGAAAAGGGCCAGAAGTATGTAGCGATGGGATAGGGGAGGAGGAAAGTAGACACAGGAGGGGAATGTACCAAAGTTTCAGAATGAGAGGTTTGGGAAGGAAGAGAGTTGGAGAAGACCGATTTAGAGAAGATGTTTTATTTAAAAAACAAACAAACAAAAAAACAACAAAAAAAAAAACGTGGTGCTATAGTTACAATACTCATAATGTGTACGTAAGGTTTTAATTCCGTCTTGGGGATTCTACTGATATAAACAGACAACTTGAACTTTGCATTTGTTTCTTATCTTGCCATATTCATTTGATAGAATTCCAGCCTTTGATAAAGCTGAGGGTGTGGGGGTAGTATTCTTTTTATGTATGTTGTATAAGTACTTTTACTATTATTTTTTATAATATTAGTCATTCATAATGGTCTCAAGAATTCAGCTCCTTGTTAAACTATGGTTTTATGATATTTGTGATAGGGACAAAAATGTACAGTAAATTGATAGCTATTCCACTTCAAAATGATTTTGCAAATAAATAAGTGAAAGTCTTGGAGGCACTTTACTTGCTATATAGCCTGCTGCATTTTATTAACAAACTTGGACTGATCACATGGCAGACTCATGGCAAGATTTGACCATAAAGGCTCATTAACAATTACTGTTAATAAGTCAGAATTATTTTATTTATCAGCTGAAAAGTCATGCAATAAGACAATTTTTCATTGTTGTGCATGAAGGTCAACTATTGGGACAGAATTCCCAATAAATAGGTGCGATTTTTAAATGGTCAAACCTCTTGCTCTACATCCCGATTGACTCAACAGAGATTAAAAAGAACTTTACTGGACACTTACATTCCCCATAAAACATAGAGGTAAATTCTCCCCATGAAAATATCCGTTAAAAAAGGTTGTTATACTTAGGAATTTTATGTTCAGAAAGAAGAGAATTCCAGATATTTTTGAAAAACAACAAACAACGTGTGTGTGTGATGCGGAGAGAGAGAAATTTATAAGAATTCTAGTACTTGTTTTCTTGAGAATCAAGATGTATTGTTGTGAGAAGGCATCTACTTTTGCTTCATCTCAGTCAATATTTACCTCTCAAGTAAACAAATCTTCAGTACAAGTCAATATCTGCTTTTGTTATTATTTTTGTTTTGTAGTGTGTAAATTAAGGTTTCCTATGTCTAGTTATACCCAGTAGGACTAATAGGCAGGGCTTTGGAGCGGAGCCCAGAGCTGGAGTGCGGAGCAGCTCCGGAGCAGTGGAGCTGCAGGTTTTTGCCTGGAGCTGGAGCGGAGCTGGAGCACAGCTCCAAAGCCCTGCAAATAGGTTCACATAATCTTTCTGAATGCCTCCATACCATCTCTTACTTAACTACTCTCTTTATTTAGATATTTCTACTATCTTAGGATATGTCTTCATTGCATAGCTAACTTGAGTTACCTCTCTTGAGTCAGGCTTCAGTGAGAGAGGCCACACTGCAAAATAACGCTTGAGTTGCTGTGTCCATGCTGGTGCTGTGTTTGCTTGTGTGCAGTGCTAAGACTTCAAAGGGTAAATATCATGGGAAGTAAAAGTGAGTGAAATTCTTTTGGACTTTTTTTTTTTTTTTTCCAAAGTTTTTTTTTTCCTTTTAAATATTTTTCAAATTTGTGTCAAATTTGCAGAAATTTTTTTTTTTTAAAAAAAAAAAAAAACAAGAACTTAAAAAAAAAAAAAAAAAAATCTAAACACTTTTAAAATACGTTTTTAATTCTGTTGCAAAGTGAATTTTTTGCTTCAGGGTTTTCATGTTTTGGATAAAATTACTCTAACACTTAAAATGGTCAAAATCTAAATAAAATATTTAGTTTGACCCTAAATGATGATCTCCCCCCCCCCCGCCAACCTGAATTGCCAGCAAATGGAAAATCTGTTATTTGCCCAGCTCTAACAGTAAACCAAGTCACTTTCTGAATTCTTTCCCAGTGAATTGTGGGAGAATTTGTCTATCTTTTCAGGGTACAGGGGGAATTCTAGGAAGGTACCCAAGAATTCCAAATGCTTGAGTGCTATTAGCTTGT